CAGATCCTCAGTTAGTGAAAACTGCATAATTCCACTGAAGTCAATGGAGTTACACTGATTTAAACCAGCTGAGGATCTGGCCAAATGATTTCACCATGCAAAGTACGACCCATACAACTTCAATATTCATAAAGAAAGACACAACACTGCCATTATACTTTCTGAAGGTACACACACACACACACATAACCAGTATAATGTTGACACAATTAAAAGACTGCATTACAAAACCAAGTATGTAGTAATTTGACAAATCACATCCAGTTTTCAACAGACCACTAATAGGTCCACTTTTGACAAAGGAACAGCCTCTCTGCTAGATTTCAACTTTCTGTTATTGATATGCTGGAGCTTTATAAAGTTAAGTTATAATTAAAATAAATAAATAAATAAACCAACAACAACGGACAAGTGATTTTTCCCTCTCCACTTCCTTCATTCTAAAAAAATGACAGATTTTTGGCTCAAACTTTCCAAAAAAACTCTCTTGGATATTTGTGAAGATAAACATATTAAAGATTGTGAAGTTCTCAGATATTGTGGTAATGGGAGTCATGTATGTAACTTAGATATATAATTTGGTACATTTAGATATGCTATTGATGCTGGAATCTTCCCTATTTGGGGGTGTTGCTACATTCCCACACATATTATGAATCTGACCTGACTGCAGAAATGTAGGAAGTACAAAATTCTGAAGATATATTTTGCCATACATTTGCATACATGATTATAATCAAACTACACTGTATATGTGCTGAAGCTGATCTTATATATTGGTAGATTATTCAGTTTCTCCATCTGAATAATGTTTTGTAAAGACTCACAAAATGCACACACAACAGAGATTTTAATGTAGATATTTTTGCAAATTCTTTCCTCCACCTTTTTTTTTTTAAATCAGGATTTCCTTGCATATATTATGCTGCCTTCCTATCTCCCTGTAGTCCTATTTCTCATAGCCTAAACTCAGATTTTATTGCAAAATGACTATCCGAGACAGGACAGATCATGGTGCTGATAAAGGCAATGGCCTTCTGTATAAAGCATAAGCATTTTGTTACTGTCCAACAGGGAAATCAAACTACAGTTGTCACAGTGTATGTGAGTTTATATTATCTAAATGATGCACTCTGACATGCAGTACAGAGAACGCCAGTGAAAAAGCTATAAATAAAAATACCTATAAATTTAACTAGTGAATAACTATGCTGTTATTTATTCAATTTTATAGATGTAACTTCCATTATCCCAGAGTTATAGATCCGTGCTGAAGTGTACGGATATACATGAAATGATACAAGTGCAAATCACACTATGGATATTATTTTAAGTGCTCATAAATGCTGTATTTTACATGTCATGTCACAAAGCCAATATTCTGAAATAGCTAAAATTCACTACAAAAGTCAGGTTAAGTTTATTAATATGGCATCTTAGCCTTAAGCCATAGCCCACAATAAATAGAAGATGATTTTAAAATCATCACTACAAAATGCATACTTTAAAAGGCAAGCAAATGAAGCATATTTTACTACCATTGTAGAAAACTGCCAAATGAGTCTAATAAAGGAAGTGGATGTGATGGCAACACATGATTATACCGCAGGATACAAAGCTGGGCCTTGAAACAGCAAAGACTTATGCACATACTTAACTTCATGCTCTGCGAACAGCCCCTTTAATGGGCTTATAGGGTAAAATCCCGGTCCCATTTAAGTCAATGGGAGTTTTGCAACTTAAGTTTAAGCACTTGCACTGTACTGTCCTTCCACATGAGTGTATTCAGATATAATTTTCAACATCTACAGGTAAGTATATTTTAACACATAAGTTTCAGAGAAACATATTTTGTGTGCACCACTCACTGCCTGCACCTGAATTACCTTACAGTGCTACTTATTTATTTACTGCAATTTATAAAACGTAAAAACCATTCATAGTTCTGATCCTGCAACAGACTCCACGCAGCCAGGCTGTTCCAATCACATCAATAGATTCTATACATGTGTACGGAGTTGCTCAACTGGAGTGAACTGCAGCATTGGGACCTGTGTTTGTAGTTAACAATAATCTGCAAAACAAATCAACCAACCAACCAAAAAACAAACAAACAAACCAAAGACAATGTTTTCACAATAAAGCCAGTTCTGAAGTCTGTACTAAGACAAAATCCCCACTGATGCCCATGGGAAGTTCACCTAAGTATGGACTAAATAAGAACTTCTGGAATGGCTCCAACAGAATTTACACAAAGCCCTTTCTATATCACAGAGTTTTGAGTGTGGATAATAAAATGCTCGTGCAAAAACGTTTTCAAACACAATTACAAGTTTTAAAATCTTGTGTTCCACAAAGAACTATCATAGCAAGCGAAACAAAAATACATTACTTAAAAACTGTACCTTCCCTTTATGCAGTACCTGTTCAGTCTCACAACACACAATGTAGATATTATTTTAACAAATGGATAAATTGAGTCTCAGAAAGACTTGCACGAGAGTGGCAGAGTTAGCAACAGAACCCCAAGTTATCAATCCCGAGTCTCTTTTCCCTGGTAGTGGGGAACAAGGACATAAGTATTTGCAGTAGAATATTCTATCACTTCACACAAAGAATGCCAGAGAAGACTGAAGTACCATCAGATTTCTAGCCTTGCTTATCCACCACACTACAATGAACTCTGAGGGGGAAATCACCCCTGCTGAACAAAGCCTTATGCAGGGCATTAAGTAAGAGTTGGGGAGGATGAATTCATTCCCAAACCTGTAGGCAGGCCTTGGGGTGTAATGCACTCCCTCCTCAGCTTCTACTGTGACCTGTAGACTAGAATATCAGAGTTTCCACTCCACACCCCCTCTACTGGATATTAAGAACCCTATGTCTGCATAGTCTTTGACCTCATGGTCCTTCTTCCAGCTCACCTCCAAACTACCATATTGAGGATCTGCACTATGCAGGGGAATTCAGGACCTTTGACACTCTATACAATCTTAGCATGTGTATCAAGAGGGCCTTATATAGGCGCTTTGTGTACCACACAGGGATTCCATCTTGTGGACCCCATACTCATGCAGGTTTCCCTAGGAATGGTGCCCTAGTTGAACTGCACAACTGATCCCAAACATAAGGTAAGGACCCAATCCTACTCCTATTGAAACCAGCGAAGATTTTCCAAATTCCTATTGGCTTCAATGGGAGCAGGCCAGCGTGTCCACGCTCTCACTACCTTCCCTGGCAGGGCTACCTACTTTCGGAACTGTACAAGCCACTTGCAGACCCACCACAGCGTGAGAGTTGCCACAGGCACCTTGTAGCACCACAATAGGCCCTCTTGGAGGACGTTCCAGCACCCGAGGCCTTCCTCTGGTGTATAACCCAGGACTGAATCAAGCCCCCTGGCATTTTGATATCTTAAAAAAAATATTTAAAAGTTTGTCAGGCTACTGACTTCTGTCCAACAGCACCATTTAAGAACAAGAGTAAAAGCAACTCCTATGCAAGAGATGCATATGTATTATTATCCATTATCATCATGAGCATACCTCTATCTACATAATTACAAATCCTGCCGCTCTTTAATTTTAATTGCATTTTGCTACAGAGTCACAGTTACATATACCATAAGGAGTTGTAAAGAGGATGGAAAGCTTCCAAAATGACTAGGTGCAATGTCTTTGCTGTCTAAATATTTTCAGGTCATTAATATTTCACTTTTATATAATCTTTAACTGGTTTTGCAACATGTTCCTTCCCCCTCCCCTTTTAAGTTCGAGCAAAAGGGACTGTTTGAAGTAGCTAGTAAACCTTCGTAGTCTCTTTCCCCTTCTGCCTCTAGAGAGTTTTAACACTTCAAGTGCAATATAAACCAGAAGGAAAAACACGTCTAGCATAGAATCTGCTCTTAAAGGGAGAATTTTTTCAGGTTTCCCTTCTAGACACATTCAGCTGTGAAAATGTCTAAAAGGGAAATTGGTGGAAAGAAGTGATTACTTTCTCCACTGTGGCTCCCAGGGACAAGCTGAAGGGAGGGAGAGAGCTGTCAAGTGTGGATGATGGCTGTGGCCTCTGAGGAGTTTCACTTCTCCACCAGAAAGGAAAACTGTTCTCAACTCCTCCGTGAGACAACTCCCAGCACCTTTCCTTTCCTCAGGGAAAGCCAAAGCGTGTATTCACCTGAGGACAGCACTTACAGTTAGGGAAAAGGACATGAGGATGTACTAAAGGAAAACATGAGATTTTCACAAGCCCCTTCCATAATTAGCAACATCCCCATTTCTTCCACCCTGTGAGGCATCTCATGTGATTCAGAAAGGGATAGGTAACATCCTTCAGCTCATGACTCAAAGGTGAGCCACCTAGAAATGCCGCACGTCATCATCCGATGCCACCACAACCTCCCCATTCAAATCTCTCCTAACAAACCCCTTCTTCCTGCAATCCCCAGCTGAATGAACATTTCAAAAAAAAGACAGAATGAAAAGCCATACTTAGATCCTTACTCTCCTCTCATTCGCACACCAGGGAGAGTCAGGAATAACTCCACTGACACCAGTGGGAATTCTGTCAGCACCAGAGGAAAAGCAGTGTCCTCTGGATTTCCCAAAGCCTCCTGTCTAGTCTAGCTCTGCCTTTGGGTTAGGACACTCTTCAGGTCAAAGCCATGCTGAATCTTCAGGTCTTGTGCAGCACGGAGCACACTGTCAGCACAAAATAAACAATTCCTAGTAATGTCACCATCTCTCTCCCTCTCCTCAGAGCCTCCTCCACAAATGCCACATGCCCTCGCTGCCCCTCTCTGGTGCGGGTGGCTAGGTGCTGGCTGTTTGCGAATGGCTAGTGAGGGAGCAGTGGCCCAGGGGGAAAGAAGAGGTGACATGTGGCATTGTTGGCAAGTCCATGGCTCCCACATTTTGCAACCTGCCTCCCCCGGCTGCAGGCGTCCCGAGTCCCCTTTAAGTGCTGCAAAGCGGTGAGTGAGCAAAGCCTGCCTCCTCTCCCTCGCTGCCAACCCACAGGAGCCCTTGAGCCAACCCTCCTCCCCCCTCCCTCCACAAAGCGACTTGTCCTCTTCCTAATCCCAGCCGCCGCTGCCGACTTGCTGGAGCGAAGCTCTGGCAAATCCCCGCAATCAGCACGAACGCCCGGCACGGGCAACGCGAATCTACCCCCGCCTCCTGCCACTACTGCTCAGTGCAACCGCGCACCGGGGCCCCGGCCGGCCCAAGCTGCCCTCCTCCTGCTCCCAATCAGCTGGCCCTGCTGCCTGCCCGGCCCCGGATCTACCTGCAGGAGCAATGCCCCGCTTCCCCTCCCTCTGCAGCCACCCACCCTGGCAACACCCTCATGCAACGCCCCCCTCCCAAAATGCAACCGCAGCCCACACACCCTGGGGCAGAGACAAGCCACCTCCCCAAATCCTGTGTCAAGAGCCCAGCAGCAGCCCCGAGGCCTGGGCTGGCTCCCCCTGCACCGTGTGTCACCTGCCAGGCTAATCCCAGCCCCGGGGCATGGAGCAGAGCAAACCGCAAAGGCAGAGGCGTGAGTGGGGCATGAAGGGTATTTACTACCTGGCTGGGCTGCTGCTCGCTCTGGGCTCCTCCAGCGCACTGGGAGCTTGGTTTCTGGTGGGGAGAAAGCGGGGGGTGGCAGGGCTGAGTCTCTGCCTTGCCCCCCACCTCCTCCTCTGCTTGCTGGTTTTCCTTTATCCCCCCCACTCCCACCCTTTGGTTCAGGGCTAATAATCCTCCTGGAGCCAGCCCCGCTCCTCTGCGAGAGCCGCCGCTTCCCAGGCAGGCATGTTGTTGCCGTGTGAGCGAGCAGAGGACGGATTGGCAGCCGGCGGGGTGTGTGTGTGCTGGGAGGACGAGGAGCAGGGGAGGGATCAGGGGAGGCGCTTCCCAGCGCGTCGGTGTGTGTTGCCACCTCCCTGCTGCAGCGCCCGGTCCCACCCCGGCTGCCCAGGCGTGCGAAGGGGCGGCGGGGAGGGGTGGGGCGCCGCAGCGCCAGGAGTGGATTGACAGGGAGGATTTAGGCAACCTCACCTCGCTGGGCTCGGAGTCAGCGGGGAGGCAAAGAGGGGGGAAATGTTTGTTTTAGGGTAAGCAGACAGCAAGTGTGAAAAATCGGGACAGGGGGTTGGGGGTAATGGGAGCCTATATAAGAAAAAGACCCCAAAATCGGGACATCTGGTCACCCTACTTTGTTTCCAAGCCTCCTTTGCAGCCAAGCGCACACCCAGGGGACCAGGACCCAAGGCAGTGCCCAGCCAGGGATTCAGCCCCACACTGGTGTGTGTCCATTCACCCGCTGCCTAAGGTGATCAGATGTCCAGATTTTATAGGGACAATCCTGATTTTTGGGTCTTTTTCTTATATAGGCTCCTATTACCCTCCACCCCCATCTCAATTTTTCACATTTGCTGTCTGGTCACCCTAGCGCTGCCTGAGAAGTCATTTTGATGCACTGTCGTGTAGCCAACGGCTTCCACTGCCCCCACCCCCTTTTTAGGTATTTACAGGCGTTTGTGATTGATTTTGCAGTTCATGGGGTACAGGACAGGCACCTGATCCTCATTGACTCACGCCCCAGAGTGCTGTTTTTAAAACCCTGGCTCCCACACCCAGAGGCTGAGCTAGTGAGAGGGATGGAAAGTCAGGCCTGGCTGCTGGAGTAACTCTTAAGTCAGTCCAGTTAGGGTGGATTCACACCCCTGGGGGAGCTGAAGTGAGAATACAGGTGTGGGTTGTTTTTTTCAAAGGGAAGCTGGAGTGGTTAGCATGTCACCTAATGAAGAGGATTTATTTTTTTCAAATTTTCTTACTAAGAGAGATGGGCGAGCCCTGTCCCGCAAACCTGACTCCCGTGAGTCATGTTTACTCACATATACGTAGGGTGACCAGATAGCAAGTGTGGAGTAATAGGAGCCTATATAAGAAAAAGATCCAAAAATCGTGACTGTCCTATAAAATCAGGACATCTGGTCACCCTACATATACCGCTCCATTGATTCTAAGAGGGGAGTGGTTTTCAACCTTTTTTCATTTGCAGACTCTTAAAAAATTTCAAAGGGAGGTATAGACTCCTTTGCAAATCTTAGTCTGTGGACTCTCAGGGGTGTGCGGCCCACAGGTGGTTGAAAACCACTGTAATAAGAAAACTAACATGAGCACAAGAATAAGGAGGACTTGCATGAGTAAGGGTTTGCAGAGGTGGCCTATGGCCCTGATCCTGCAGAAAAATAAGTAGAGCCCTGCAAATCCACGGGTATCTGCTTTATATCTGCATATCCATGGACTATTTTTGCGGTGAGCAGCTCTGATACAGATACAAATTTTGCTGTAGCACAGACTCACCAGATCAGGTGGAGGGACCCAGACTCCCATGCTAAGAGCCGGGCGGGCAGCTGTGGGGAGCAGCGGCAGACCCTCCACATACCGTAGGTGGGGGGGGGGCGAGCAGTCCCTGGCCCATGTCGCTGTCCCCCACATCCTCCCACCCAGGGCAGGTGGAGGGTCCACACCGCGGTTCCTCACAGCTGCCCACACAGCTCTTACTGGAGCCGGGCTGAGGCTCCGAGGCACCTCCTCCTCCCCCGAGCCAGCATGGCGTCGTGGACCCTCTCCCTGCCCTCAGGCGGGTGGGGAGCCTGGGGGGCAGGGACATGGCCGGGGGCTCCTCTCAGCCACTCACCCCCCATGGGCAAGTGGGGGGTTTGCCACGGCTCCCTACAGCTGCCCACCCAGCTTGTATCATGGCCAGGCTGTGGCTCCAAGGCCCCCCCCCATCCCGGCCAGGGTGGGGTCTGGGGGAGGGAGGGAAGAAGACGGAAAGGGGGAGGGGTCCACCCCTGTGAAAAGTTGATGGGCAAGGCTGCCAACCTGTTCCAGCACCACTGGTCACCTCTCCGCAGTGACCTGTGGAGCTGTTTAGAGCCCTGCAAATCCTCAGATATCTGTAGTCTAAGTGAAGATTTGCAAGATTTAGCACACAAGTATTATCAAGTGCACATGAAACAAATTGATCTAGATAAAAATACCAGATGTCTAGACAAGCAGGTTCCACATCTGTAATTGTTTCTAAACATAGCTAGTACATTCATTCATGCTTATTCCCATGCACTCTATTCTAAGGGATATAATGGACTTAAGGGTTCTTTCAGGTTACGTCTTTCTGCTGTCTTGTTTCTACTGCTCTATTCCCTTTTCTGGTGGTGCTGAATAATACATCTGGAGTAGATAATGAATTCTGCAGTAAATCTTACAGGAAAGGTTGGAGCACATTATACAGGATGTGTAGTAATGGAACTTGGAATGTAAGGATAGAGGTAGAAGTAGTTTAGAAATCCCTCCTCCATCATTATAAGGTTGAAAAACCTTGGCTGACATTTCCTCAACAGAAACAGTTTGAAGTAAAATTGCATTTCTTCGCAAGTTTCAAACAAGGACATACAGTACCCAGATATTTTTAGTGGGAATCAAGTCCCAATTCAGGAAAGCATTCAAGCATGTGCTTAAAGTTAGCCATATGCTTAAGTGCTCTGATAAATCAGCCCCCAAGTAAGGATTGTCAGTTATTTCCTACACTGTCTCCCTGTCCTCATTCTGCCTTACATTTAAGTAAAAAGGTTCTAAAAGCCTCCCAGGCGTTAACCTTACCTTTCTAGCACTTTGCTGTAAATTCACTTGTCTGCTGTCCTGAAAGATGAGCACCTGTTATTAAGCAGCACCCTCAGAGATTCTTGAAGATGATGCTTCCATGCGCAGGTTCTGATTCAGTGTGGTGAGACGGGCAAACCAACAACAGCAAGCAGCAAAGGTTGGACACAATAATGGCAGCTTTACAAATTATTAATAGTGTTTTACGTGAATGAAAGAAACCCCAGTCGTAATATGATTAATCATCAAGCAGCCTCCACTTTAAAGTAGGTAAGCTGGCTGAAAACCAACTGGGTAGGTGCAGGAAAGCAGCAGGACATGCAGGTTCTGGACACCCACATAAATATGTAACCCAGTTCTCTCATCAATTTTGCAATGATGTGACTGGAGAATCAGGCCCATCAAGTTCTTTCACAAGTATACATACATCTTAAGAAAAAATTCTACATTCAGGGTATGAAAATTCACAAAGAAGAAAACATTCTCACTAACGAATTGAGAAAGATGTTTTGAAATTTTTTAATAAAATTGGCATTTCCAATTCTCCTACATCCCCTTTCCACTTGGTGCTTCTCTTCTCATCACTCCTTTTGTCTCCTTCATCCACTCCTAACCCTGTGCCTTACTTCACACCACCCTCTATGGTAGCTGCCTCTCTACTAATATGCAGAATGGTTACCTACCCTACAGGTGTTGTGGCTCCTTAAGATGTTCTGGCAGCCTTGCAAATCTCAGAAATTGGAACATTCCTAACACAGGAAGTAGATGCTGCCTGTGAGCTGGTGGTGTGTGCTTTGATGTTTGGAGAGAGAGGCTTGCCAATTAGTTGATGGCAAGTGGAAATACACTGTGTGATTCACTTGGAGATTCTCTGTGACACGATGGTTTGGCCTTTAGATGGGTAGAAATGGCTACAAAAAGGTGGGGAGACAACCAGAAAGAGTTGGTGCTATCAAGGCAATATAAAGAGCTCTGGACACATCCAGTGTATGCAGTTCCTTCTCTCTCTGTTTGAGGGCAGCTCTAGGAAGAACTATGGTGAGATAATTGGTTCGGGTGGAAGTGAGAGATCACCTTTTCTTTGCTTGTAACCATTTTTGACTTTATCCCCAGCGGTGGCTCCAGGCACCAGTGCTCCAAGCATGTGCCTGGAGCGGAAAGCCGCAGGGGGGGCGCCCTGCCGGTCCCTGTGAGGGCAGCAGTCAGGCAGCCTTCGGCGGCTTGCCTTTGGGAGGTCCGCTGGTCCCGCGGATTTGGCGGCAATTCGGCGGCAGGTATGCCGAAGCCGCGGGACCGGCGGACCTCCCGCAGGCAAGCCGCCAAAGACAGCCTGCCTGCCGTGCTTGGGGCGGCAAAAAAACTAGAGCCGCTCCTGTTTATCCCTCACACTTGAACTCACTTAAAATCCTCTTTTTCTGTTAAACTTGTTTTACTTTTAATCTAAATTAGGGCTGTTGCACGATTAATCGCACTGTTAAACAATAATAGAATACCATTTATTTAAATATTTTGGATGTTTTCTACATTTTCAAATGTATTGATTTCAATTACAACACAGAATACAGTGATCACTTTATATTTATTTTTTAATACAAATTTTTGCACTGTAGAAAACAAAAGAAATAGTATATTTCAATTCACCTCATACAAGTACTGTAGTGCCATCTCTTTATCATGAAAGTTGAACTTACAAATGTCGAATTATGTACAAAAAAAACCTGCATTCAAAAATAAAACAATGCAAAACTTTAGAGCCTACAAGTCCAGTCAGTCCTACCTCAGCCAATCACTCAGACAAATAAGTTTGGTTACATTTGCAGGGGATAATGGTGCCCGCTTCTTATTTACAATGTCACCTGAAAGTGAGAACAGGCGTTCTCATGGCACTGTTGTAACAGACGTCGCAAGATATTTACGTGCCAGATGCGCTAAAGATTCATATGTCCCTTCATGCTTCAACCACCATTTCAGAGGATACGCATCCATGCTGATGATGGGTTCTACAATCCAAAGCAGAATGGACTGACGCATGTTCATTTTCATCATCTGAGTCAGAAGTCCTTTTTTTTTTTTTTGGTGGTTCGGGTTCTGTATTTTCTGCATAGGAGTGTTGCCTTTTTAAGACTTCTGAAAGCATGCTCCACACCACGTCCCTCTCAGATTTTGGATGGCACTTCAGATTCTTAAACCTGGGGTCGAGTGCGGTAGCTATTTTTAGAAATCTCACATTGATACCTTCTTTTCGTTTAGTCAAATCTGCAGTGACAGTGTTCGTAAATCAAACAACATGTGCTGGGTCATCATTGGAGACTGCTAGAACATGAAATATATGGCAGCATATGGGTAAAAGAGAGCAGGGACATACAATTCTCCCCCAAGGAGTTCAGTCACAACCTTAATTAACGCACTATTTTTTTTTAACGAACATCATCAGCATGGAAGCATGTCCTCCAGAATGGTGGCTGAAGCATGAAGGGGCATACAAATGTTTAGCATATCTGGCATGTAAATACCTTGCAATGCCGGCTACAAAAGTGCCATGCGAGCGCCTGTTCTCACTTTCAGGTGACGTTGTCAATAAGAAGCAGGTAGCATTATCTCTTGCAAATGTAACCAATTTGTTTGTCTTAGCAACTGGCTGACCAAGAAGTAGGACTGAGTGGACTTGGAGGCTCTAAAGTTTTACATTGTTTTGTTTTTGAGTGCTGTTATTTAACAACAACAAAAATCTACATTTGTAAATTACACTTTCACGATAGAGATTGCACTGCAGTACTTGTATAAGGTGAAATGAAAAATACTATTTCTTTTGTTTATCATTTTTACAGTGCAGATATTTGTAATAAAAAATAATATAAAGTGAGCAGTGTATACTTTGTAATTGAAATCAATATATTTGAAAATGTAGAAAAACATCCAAAAATATTTAATTTCAATTGGTATCCTATTGTTTAACAGTGTGATTAATTGTGATTAATTTTTTAATTATAAAAAACTAATCATAGTTCACAAGGAGTTCTAAGAATGTATTCCAAGGCTGTTATAGTTTTTTCTTGGGACCTGCCTCTGATCAGTCATTCATCCAGGTACAGGTAGACATGGGATTCCCTGCCTCCACAAATGCACTGGCACTCCTGCTAGGAATTTTATGAATATTCTTGGAGCTGTGGAGAATCCAAAGAGCAGAACCATGTATTGATAATGTTGGGCTCCACTGTGAATCTTAAGTTCTTCTTGTGGGCTAGGTGTACAGCTATATGGAAGTACACATCTCGCAAGTCTAGAGCCATGAACCAGTCTTGAGCTTGGAGAGATTGAATTATTGAAGCAAGCTTTACCATCCTGATCCTGAGATGCTGCATGCATTTGTTGAGTCTCCTCAGGTCTAGGATAGAGTGAATACCCCCTTTCATTTTCAGAATGATGAAATAATAGGAGGAGAAGCCTCTTCTTGAGAAAGGACATCACCTGTCCCAGATTAGGAAGTCATACTTGGCCAGTAAAGCTGGCAGTTAGCCACATGCAGTTGTAGGAAGGCAGAGGAGTATGATTTTCTGCCAATCAGGTTGAGCTATTTGGAGTTCTTGTCTTTGTTCTTGTCAACTTATCCAGAACACCTTCTCCAGTTCTGGGAGAACATCTAATCCAGTTCTCTGGGATCCAAAAAACTCTGTTTGACTCCAGTTCATGTCACAGGGGGAGGGATAGCTCAGTAGTTTGAGCATTGGCCTGCTAAACCCAAGGTTGTGAGTTCAATCCTTGAGGGGGCCACTTAGGGATCTGGGGCAAAATCAGTACTTGGTCCTGCAAGTGAAGGCAGGGGGCTGGACTCGATGGCCTTTCAAGGTCCCTTCCAGTTCTAGGAGATAGAATATCTCCATTAATTGTAATTTATTTAAAATTTATTAGGCACGTAACAGCTGTTTCCCCATGCTGGCCAGGCCCAGACACAGAGGTACAGGGTGACACTACAATTCCAATTCATGTGTCACACCACATAATTATATACATCTTTCCTAGATGCTAACATATATACTTCTTCCAAGCAGTGGCGGATTAATAATTTTGCCGCCCCTAGGCTGGGAAATAATTGCTGCCCTGGCCCCGCCCCAACTCCGCCCTTTCCCCGCCCTCATTCCAACCTGCTCCCCAAAGTCCCCGCCCCAACTCTACCCCCTCCCTTCCCCTATTGGATCCCTTCCCCAAATCCCCGCCCCCGCCTCTTCCCCCAGCGCGCGGCGTTCCCCTTCCTCCCCCATCCCTCCCTGCCCCGTAAAACAGCTGTTTCGCGGCGCAAGCGCTGGGAGGGGAGAGAAACAGGACACGGTGGCGCGCTTGCAGAGGAGGCGGAGGTGAACTGATGCAGGGGGGCAGGTTACAGAGGGGAACTTCCGCCCCTGCAAATTTGCCAGCCTAGGCCTAGGCAATAATATGGCGCTGCTTCCAAGTAAAGTCCCATTGCTTTGCAGATTGCATCAGGCAAGCTTATCAGTTCAGGGTGTTTCTGCTTACTTTCTTTACTACAAACATACCCACAATAATTAGTTTAGTTAGTTTCTGCCTTCCTTATTTGTTATAAACATGTTCACAATTGTTAGTTGTTTCACCAATTACTTGTCTGGGCTTGTCTTGTCTTAACTTGGGCCTGCCCATGTCAGCAAAGCCTGCTCTCCACAAAGGCTCCTTCTCACCAGCCTTTGACTCAGTGCTGGCACTGTGGATTTATTTCTGGAGTCTTTACATTGTCCGGCCTGGAGTCTCTGCATCCATATTCAGAGCTGCCTCTATCAGTGCTGGATTTCAGTGCCAGAAAGGTAGATGCCAGCTTTGATGCTTTTGACGTTGGAAACAGCTTTGGTGTCGGGGTGGTGGTGCCAGGGTCAGGCCTTTTCTCAGTAAAGTCTTCTCTGCTCTGGTCTTCGGTGTTGATTGCCTGCTAGACTGGATGATGCAGCAGGATCTTGAAGCTTATCTGATGAGACCTTCACGGATTGTTCCAGAAGATGGAGCGTCAGCCGCGCGTCTCACAACTTACATGTCTTAGCAGAGGATGATAGCCATACTGAACATCTGTTTGGTATATGTGATTCTTCTAGGCAGAAGGGGACATCTTTTAAGGGAATTAGCCCATTGCAGGATAGACAGGGCTTCAAAGGTACGGGCTTTCAGTCTGCCGTGTTAAGGAGCTCTGTTTTGGGAGCGTCCAAGCATCAACCCTTAGTCCAGATGGGTAAATATGATCACAGCAGTTCTAAGTCCAGGTAATCAGAAGTGAAGGGCCATAATCCATTTAATGTGGCTGTAAGATCTTAACTGCAGTTTCTGCTAAGAACTTTTCATATAGGCCCGGAGTCCACAGCTTGGCCTGGGCCATGGGGGCTGGCTAACAGAGAACAATACATAGCTATGAGAAAGCTGGGGTAAACAGATAAGCTTGTGTGTTTCATGTCAGTGAGCAGAGTCAGCATAACTCCAAATGTAATTGGGTGTCCTTATCGTGAGTTTTAGACACATGAAGCGCTGAGAAAGGCCTCACGGTTACTCCCTAATGCAGGGAGGAGATAGCGGTACAATACCCCTCAGATCCCAGGCAGAGTTCGGGGAGAGGCCTAATATGATTGACATGAGTTATGACACCCTCCCCTCACATATGTGTGCCAATCCTAGCCCACAGAAATGCAAGGGTAAACTTATAAACTATTGTGTACTAATTACTGCTTTTTGCTTTAAATCTCCAGGAATGTACCTGTTGGCCAACTGGGAGAGCTGCTACCTCATTCCCCTGGACCCCAAAATTAGGATTTAACCTATACACTTTAATAGACATAGTTTGGGGTAATTATCTGTGTGTCAGCAATATGTTAATTTGAGCCTTGGGCGGAGCCATTATGTAATCTTTTAGACCATTGGCTTATTGTGCTTATCTTGTCTGGCTGCTAGAACCTATCCAGAGGCTTGGGAAAACCCATCACCATTGCTTCTCTCCGCCCAATGAGCGCCCTACATAATCTATTGTAATTAATTGTTCTGCAGTGTCTCTGAGCCTGATAAGCAAGGTGACACTCTGCCAGCGCTGTGCGTAATAAACTCCTGTGCTTGACTCTACAAGGTGTGGATTTATGTTCCTTCAAGAAGAGTTCTGAAGGGTTTTAGAAGATTTGTACAAGGTTTAGCCAAGGCTAAGAACTATTGTGTCAAACACTCACCAGGTTCTGTTTTGCTACCATGGGTGCTAAGAGGGAACTGAGGGAGGGTTGCAGCCACCCTGCCCTTTATGCTCATATAGGAACATGAGGAGGCAAAGGATACCTTAATGGACATTGTTATTAAAAAGAATCCTCACATGCATTAGGCATGTGCACATATACAGTGGGAACCACACAACATACTCAGAGTAGAAGCCAAGTTCCTTCCATTCTTCCTTCAAGAAACACCAGTTCCATAATAAACCAGCCTGTGTCAGTTTTGTTGCCAAGAATCATACCCACTTCTACCTATGGATTATTAGCTCTTTGGGGCAGGGATTCATTGTTCGACACAATTTACCTGCTGTACAATGCTACATAAGCTGAATGAATTATTATGTTAAAAAGTGATGTTTGTGATGCTAACATTAAGAACCCCACAAGAGAGACAAAAACCTGCTGTAGGCTAATCATAAAAAGAATGGTAATTTAAAACAGATGTTTAATTAAACATTAGTGTTTCCTTCTTCTTCAGCGGACTCCTTCGCTACCGGTGGCGGAACCAACCCTGCTTTTCAGCAAGATAACCACCTTCAAAACTATGCTCACAAATGGAAATTATAATTAGAAACTTAAAATACACTTCAGTGCACTCACAGTGACAAGTGCTCCTTACCCTGTAAAGTTTAAGATGAGCAAAATGTGTGGATTTTTTTTCTTTAAATAGCCCTGGAGTGAGTTGTCTGGCAGAAATTTGAACTCTCGTGAATGTGTCCCTGCAGGCTTGCACGAAAATTAAAAGAAAAAAAAATCCCCAACGACCGTGTGCTTTGCTGTACTCCTCATTTCACCCATTAAGGATGTGTCTGGTTCAACTCATTCTGAGCACTTCCATGTTTTCAACCAGCTGCAAACAGCCAATGCAGATATCACTACAATGCACTCTTGCTCAGCTCTGGTTCGAAAGCAGTCATTTTGAGTGTTGGGGTGGGAGCGAGGAGAGAAGCATCCAAAAAGCATCCATCACTCAGAAAGAAAGGACTGAATTATTTTCTGTGCACTATTGTGAGAACTGGGTTTGGGAATGGGTCGCAAGGGGACATGCAGCTTGTACTAAGGAAGGGGAATGGAAAGGAAAGGATTCTTATTTAAAGAAAGAACTTAAAAATCATACACTGAAAACATAATTTCTGTACTTTCCCACCACCTTCATCATTGTCTACAGTCAAAAGTTGCAGTGTTTTAAATATACCAGGATAGTTAAAGCAGTACAACCCCCCTAGTGTGGACTCAGTTACACCAATATAAAGATTACTTACATTAGTATAGCTTATTCGCTTATGGGAAGGATTTTATATAATCTATATAAAAGAGCTTTAGACCAGCATAACTGCCTCCATACAAGGGATTATACTGATATAACTATATCAGTGAAAAAATCATACCCATCAATGAAACAATTTATTGGTACAAAAACTGTGTGGACACTGAGCCTTAGACTCCAATCCTGCAAAGAGATTTATCTGAGCAGACCCCTGTGCCTGCCTGGAAGTCTGTGGTGCTTCATGTAGGTACTGCCTGCACAGAGCTCCTTGTAGGAGCGAGGCCTTATATTATTATAAACAAAGACATTAAAACAAATACAACCAACGTCATGTGTCACTCCGCTTGGACAATGAACATTAACAGAGTCAGTTTCACTTTTCTTTCTAGCCTGTTTTACTTTCTGGTTCTTGGTGTTGTAATATTTGGGTTTGAAACATTGCAGAGGCTTGTTTATTTATTTAAAGCAGCTTTTTTTTTTTAATGGCATTTTAATTGTGGAAACCTTCCTGTTTATTCTAAGATTTTTATTTTAAAGTTTATTTTTATAAAGGTTCTACATTGGGCCAAGGGTAAGTTGACAAATGTTCCTTTCAGTTTTGTTATTAAAGCAGTCTACAAAATGGGAAGAGAAGAAACTTGCTGTTGGAAGGGAGAGCTGTATTTTTATGTGAAATGTACTGAATGTTTACTTGGAATGGGAAACATGGACTGAGGGTGGTATTCTGCATTGGAAAGCAGAAGGCTAAAGATGAAGACTAGATGTATCATTTTGCAATATCTGCCATTCTCTTCACTGCATCATCACAGCAGGAGCCTTCCAAAGTACCATTGAATTGGGAGTTCATAAATTCTGCATTAAACTAACTTTAATTAGGTTTTCCTCAGGCCTAAGTACCCCCAAAGCTGTTTTGTTAACACAGAACTATTAAAGAGTTTTCTTCAGCAGGGTAAGGTCGAGGGATCCTATAAGCTATCTCACAAACAAGTACAATAAAAGAAAGAGCCAGTACAGCTGAAGCAGATGGACCAGGTTGAGAGGAAATTGACATTGCTCCAAGGTATAAATTCCCCGCAACACACTCCATACCCCTCACATACCCGACTGACTGAATGGCAATTCCTCTCCTTTGCAAACAAAATGCCTTCCACTATCCTGGGAATGTGAGTAGCAGACATAGTCCAAGACAAAAACTAAGTGAAATTAACCAAAACAGCCAGGTGCACATTCATCTTATCCCACTTATCTAAGTGTCTATTACACAAAACAGCTAAATGTATTAATACACGAGAACATTGTGCTATGGGTCAGCTATGGTTGATCTATGCCCACATTATATCAAACATAAGCCTTAAAAGGCAAGGAAATGAAAAGTTAAGGCTACTGAAAGTAGATCTTTTATTCCTCCGCACAGAGAGACGCTTGCCATTAGCACAACCATCATACACCACAGAAAATGCACCACAACCTTAACTCTGCCCTCTTAAGGATGCCAGCCTCCAGCACTCCTTTCACTAAATTCCACCTATCCACCTCCACCACAAGCAGACCATACTTCTCTCCTGTCCATCCTTCACTGTTCTGCAAAATTATACTAACAGCCCATCACACAATATCTAGGCAAAAAGGAAAGCATTTCTGTTTAGCTATCAATTTGAAGTTTGTAAAGCTGCTGGCCAATCGTTTGTGGGCCTCTGTAGTACAGTGCATCTGAGCATCTCATAAACATTAATGGATGTGTTATTCCCCTTTTACAGATGGGGGACTAAGGCACAGGGTACATTAAGTGAATTGCCCAAGATCACGTAAGAAATCTGTGGTTGAGCTGGGAACTGAACCTAGGTCTCCTGATTCCAATGCCAGTGCCTTAGTCACTAGATCATCCTTCCTTGCATATTTGGTATTGCACACAATACAGTCTAAAGCACTGATGCAGAAGATACATATAGGTATCAATCAGTTCATAAAACAGTTGACTCAAGGAAATTCAAACTTGGGTATCATGGTGTACATGGCAAACGCTGGCCAATGCCCAAGAGTTCTATAAGAATCACACAGTTGTATACCGTTCCATTACTGTAGCAGAATGCTTTGCCTCAAGAAGCATTACACTGGATCACATGGCTATTAGGCTTCAGAAGAAGAGAGAGTATCAAGCTTCAGGTCATCAATTTCTTCACAATGTGCAATCAAACAAGGGTGTGGAGGTCAGGGGCGGCTCCATGTATTTTGCCGCCCCAAGTACAGCAGTCAGGCGGCTTTCGGCGGCACGCCTGCAGGAGGTCCGCTGGTAATGCAGATTTGGCGGCATGCCTGTGGGAGGTCCGCCAGTCCTGCGCCTTCGGCGTACCCCCGCCAAAACCGTGGGACTGGCGGACCTCCCGCAGGCATGCTGCCGAAGGCAGCCTGACTGCCGCCCTCACGGCAACCGGCAGGCCGCCCCCCGCGGCTTGCCGCTCCAGGCACGCGTTTGCTGCGCTGGTGCCTGGAGCCGCCTCTGGTGGAGGTGTATTTTCACCTTCAGTGTCTGTTCTGCTTAGCTTCATATTCTGTATGTAGGAAAGGGGAAACCACTTTCCTTTTTTCAAAAATCTAAAGTCAAATCCTAAAATATTATGAAAATATTATGTACTGGGTGGGGGAGAAAGTAATTGAAGCCAATGTGATGCGTTTGGTGCAAACACTGGGAGTATGCTCGTGGACATATCAATTGGATCCAGTCTTTCCATAGAGTTCAGTGGGCTTTGGATCAGGCCCTAAAAAAGCTGTGCATTATTAATTGCTGTTACTAATATTAACAGACTCCAACACACACATTTATGACGAATAACTGCTGAGTTTCATATAAGAACAAGTCAGCACAAATACCCAGAATGCCTCCTAAATACTCTGCCTACCCTTGTGTATTACTAATTGAAGTGCGGCCCCACTTTTCTCATCATTTCCTTTAATGCACCACTCTTTACGGAGTTTGTGCTGCTGGAACACAGGAGTTGCCATAATGGAGCAGACCAATGGTGACCAATCTAGGCTAATATCATAGTTCTATCAATGGCCAATATTGGATGCTACAGAAGGTGGCGTAAACTCCCTATATAATTGTGCAATACTAAACTGCTGCGGAAGTTTGTTTCCCAGTTGGTGATCACCTTATATGTCTTGAAATATGACACCCAATAGACTTTGTAATAGTCTAGACAGTTTGATTATTGATGCATAAGTGCGACAAATGGCATCAAATATTTTTTTGAACACTGTGATTCTCAAAAATGACAGCAAACATAGCAACATAGGTGATCAAGGCAGTAACCTACCAGAAAACTTTTCAGTTCAGGGGTGCCCAGATATTGCCAAACATGTTTAGCTTAACATTAAATCAATAACAAAAAATGTTCAAAATGCAGAATTTATTGCACTGTTAATAGAGCTGAAATAAGTTATATGTCAAGAAGTTTCTTGACTCTTATGTTCCTATTTGCTGTACCCCAGAGTAAAATTTGTATATTTCTCATGACAACCTTTGAATCCTATATGGGTAATAACTAGTCTTCTTCCAAGATACCTGTATGGAGTAGTTATTAAATAAACGCACAGGC